CTTTTCTCTCTTTTATCTCCTACTGGGACTCCAAGTACACATATATTACTGTGCTTGAGCACATCCTATAGTCCTCAGTCTTCAGGTATTCTCTGTTTTAGGAAGTATCTATATACAAAGTAGGTGTGATTTTATTATGGACTAAGAAAGTAGTGTACACGAAGCTTGGGTCAGGGAATTATCGACAATGTCAGAGAATAGTGTGCTGCATTTTGGATGTATGGCTTCATATTGGTGACAGAAATGGTACTTAGCTCTGAACTATGTAGCCAGAATAGTAATTTTGACAGATCGTTTCATGAAAAGGAGATTGTCTTGGAAGGAACAAATCATTTTGCATTATCACTAGAGTCCCATGCCATTTTCTGAAAACAAAAAGCAAACACTATTTCAGAAGAGGAATCTGGGATTATGTTATTCTAGTAGCATTATCATACGTATTTATTACCTGAATCAACACCATGATTTTTCCCCACATAGTTCTCATGAGTTACTTCCATTACAGTTTAATTTTCTACAGGTTTACTCTAAAGATTGAAAAGTAAAACATTTTCCCATTATTTTCCATGTCTTTAGCCTTAGCAGACATCATGATAGCCAAGATGAAAAAGGTGACATTCCCTGAAATATTTGACTCACAGAGAAAATACAGAGTGATTCCTTATTTTATTCACTTTTCTGTCACTGGAATGAAATATTTGACACCCATAACTTAAAAGAAAATTGGTTCATTTTGGCTCATGGTTTTAGTCTATAGTTGGCTGGCACCAAGGAAGAAGCAACATGGGAAAACACGGTAGAAGAAAGCTCTAAATACCAAGGCAGCTAAGTAGCAGTAAGAGAGGCAGGAGCAAGGAACTAGAATATACTTTTCCAGGTAATGTCCCCAGTGAAGCACCTCCAACCAGGCCCCATCTCTTAAAAGCACATTTAACTACTGAACTCAGCAATGGATGAATCCACTGATGAATATAGTCCCAGAATATGAAATGATCCAGTATCCCTCCAAACACACGAGGCTTTAGGGAACACGTTTTATCTAAACCATAAGGCCCATACAAAGGAGCTTGCACCCAGCTCAGAAACATCTTTAGAGGTTGATGTAGCACTTTTGCCTGTGTATTTCAAATTTTAACAAAGCTTCTTAATTACAGCTTGATTTGCAAAAGTCAGAGTCAAAACACCTTAAGACACCTGTTCTCCTTTCTCCTTATCTCAAAACTATCAAAACCAGTATGTATTAGTGTGAAGGAAAACTTCAAAAGAAGATAATTCTCAAAAAATCATGAAGTATATGAGGAAGATTAATACCATGAAAAGCAGACTGATCAAATAGAAGAGTTGTTTCTCTACCAGAAGAAATTGATTCAGGACATGGAAAGAATTTAAAAGGAAAAAAAAAGTGATTTGCTTAAAAAGAAGAAAATAGTAATTATGAGATAAGTATAAGTTCTTTTGAAAATCTACCATATAGAAAAATTTAAAAAGAAAATGATCACTCAAACAGATAAAATGCAGTATATTAAGTGAATCTTAGGCTGGGGACTAGCAAATATTGGAGCAGCAAGAATAGAAAAAAATGGATGTGAGAGCAATCTGGCTGTGACATCTGTCACCCTATTGATGCCAGGGTTGATTTGGCTGATCTGACTGGGTAAGGTAGGTGGGTGGCCCTTTCCTTTCTTACTGCTCCATGTGCATCCCTGCTGAAGCTACTTGGTTGAAGAGGACAAGCACCTCTGTAAAGCAGGGCCGTTTCATTTCTTAGGGCAAGGGTATAACACGAGTAGCTGCACTACCCTGCTAGAACTTCCAAACAAACTCTCAAGAATAGGAAAAATAGTCAGGCATGGTGATGCATTGATGCATGCTTGTAATCCCAGCACTTGGGAGGCTGAGGCAAGAGGATCACCATGAGTTCAAGGCCACCCTGGGATATATATTGAGTTCAAGACCAGCCTGAAGTACATAGCAAGACCCTGTCTCAAAAGTGAAAGAAAGACAGAGAGAAAATAACCTGGAAGACAATAAAGAGACAGAAATAAACTGAGATCATACTTTTCATCAACAATGTTAAATATCAAAAGAATGAAAGGAATTGAGTTTAATTTTTACACTTGATCTTACCCAAAAGGCTGAGAAGCGATTGAGTTTAATTATTTAAGTCAGTGTCAACCAAAGTATTGGTTAACCAAATGTGCATTTGACATAACAATAGCTTTGAATTATGACCAGCAGATTTCTGGTTTTATTTTATTTATTTTTGGTACTGGGGATCAAACTTGGGTCCTTGTGCTTGCGAGGCAGGCAGTGGAACCATGGAGCTAAATCCCCAGCCGATTTCTGGTTTTTAAAAAAATTATCTAACATTCTATGAAGCAAAGATCCTCTCTGAGTAAAGTAGTGTCATTTAAAAAAAAATCTCACATTTGCAAGGAAGCACCATTTAAGGGTAAAGACAGACTTATGGAAATTATAGTGAGTTATTTTACTAAATTTAACTGATATTTGAATATAGAAATTTGACTGATATTTGAGTATGTCTTAACACCACATGGAGAATTAAAATTAATTCACCCCTTTGCTTTTCAGTGTTAAAAATTTGATTTTAACTAATTAAGGAATTATTTCTGAGTTAATAATTTTTATAGAAAAAGAGAGTGCATACTTTCAGAAGTGTGTTTTAAAAAATTAGTGAATGACTAGCCATGTGAAAATCTTTTAAGCCCTGGGGATGTTGCAAATGTTATTTAATTTTGATATCATAAAAAATAACCAAAATTGAATAGACGTATCAAAATGATCATAAAGACACTCAAAATGTGATTTAAGGCCCAGCACCATTTAAATTAATCATAACTACAATCAAACTGTGATTTAAGGAAGGTCAGTTTTTAATTCTTTTTCTCATTTAGGCATTTGCAAAATCTTTGATAACTCCAGTTCGCTTTCTTCCAGTCATGAGTATTCAATTCTTAGAAAGTTCTGTCTCTCTGAATGAGAAATCACCCAATAGGAGAATATTTGTTCTTTCTTAATTTCTCTAATAAGGACTAAAGATTTAGTTACTTGTAAATTAATTTTTCTATTCCACTTAAAATAGTCATGTGATTTGGCATTTTAGTTGATTCCAGATTTGTTTAGTAGCAGCTAATGCAGACTTTCACAATAATATTGTTCTCTTGCCTTTATAACTTCCTATTCTTGTACATCTTTTAAAATTACAACGTAGGTGGAAGAATGCAGATGCCCATGAAAAGTTTTTATCCCACCCGGACCACAAATAATTCTAAATCCTGGTAGTTTGTAATATGAAGGAAGGAGGGAACCAAAACAGAAAGCAAAGAAAATATTTCCCCTCATCAGTTACCATATGTATTAAGACTGTATTGAAACACTACTTTTACAATACGGCAGCAAAAGGGCCGGGGATTTAGCTCAGTGGTTCCACCACCTGTCTTGCAAGCCCAAGGACCTGAGTTCGATCCCTGGTACCAAAAAACCAAAAAAACAAAACAATACGGCAGCAAGAGATCATGCATGTGTATACTTTCTTAAAAGTAGCAAAAGGCATTCAGGTGGTTTTCAAGTCAAAATTTACACACCAAATAATCATCCCACTACATACCTTACCAAATAATGTTTCATGCAACATGGAAAGCATAATCAGTTGTTCAAAGGGATTAGGTTTAATTTTCTTCAGTTATCATGCTAAGGAGCCCTAAAGAGTAATTACCTTAGAAGTGATTTACTGTGTTAGCCTATATGTTGGACTATTTTAGTCAAATATAATAATATGACGTGAAATATTAATTTCAGTGTCAACACAAAGAATGAATTAAATATTTTATTTGAGTGTATGGCATAAAGGCATGGTGAATTACTATATCTTAAAACACAATGATAAACAAACTTCACTAACAATGAGCAAAACTGCATTAGGGATATTGAAAAGCACATTATGAGGGTATATACTCAACAAAATACCATAAAATTGGCGGTTTGCAACTGTTTTTCCTGCTTTGAAACACAGAATTTGAAATGCAATAACTACAGATAATTTAATTTTGCTTTCCTATTTCTAAAAGAAAAAGAGGCATTATAATTCCATAAGACAGCAAGCAGATGAAAACAGGAAAATATGAATTAGCATGTAACAACATAAAAGTAAATTCAATTTTTTAATAAAAGGAAAATATCCATACAAAACTACCTTCTGATCCTAAGAAATGTTAGTTATTTCTGCAGTTATTTTGCAATCGATTTTGTTAAGTGTCTTCAGTCAGGTTACTGGGGACAATCGGTTTCAAGAATTTGAAATCGCGGGTCCCAGAGTCGCCAGTGAGACAGACCTCATACCGGTAGCTGTGGGACAGCGTCCCAGCGCCGCCGACGTCCACCAGGCGGCCCGGAAA